GAAAGAGTTTCAGAACTATGTTATGTATTTATATGTGTATACACCCACACATATATAGATATATAGATATACACATATATTCATACGCGTATATATATATATGACACAAGTGCGCACGCACATTCTGCCCTCCCTATCCAAGCTAACTACTACAGGAGGTGTAAGATCATACTGAGTGGAAAGAATTTACAATGTTTATTAGCAGGCTAACAACAAGAAACTACCAACTTTAATATTTTATTGGGTAAAACAAACAAACAAACAAAAGAAGTAATGCAATGTTTGTGGCAAACATACCTCTTTGAGACAAAACAGACTGCAAGTTCTGTGCCCAAGTGGCAAAACACTGACTGATGTAACATAAACTATTCTTTTCATATGTAGGACATAACTAAGAGCTTGTTTACTTGTGTTCCCTTGAAGCACAAAACATCAAAATAAGAATTTTGAAGTAACAGTTTTGATATCACTGTGACTAAATACACATCCACCTATACCTCCACCATGAAACATTACTTTTATATAGCAGCCATGTACAGATATCCAATTTCTCCTGGGACAGTGTGCTAATTTTCAGGATTTTCGTCCCAGGGTAAAAATGGCTGCTCCAGGAGAAAATTAACTTGGCAACAGCCAGGATTAAATTGCTCCCAAGTCAGTTTCTCCTGGGACAGCAAGCTGTACACATTCTCTTCTGAGAGATCACAGCACAGTCCTTCAGCATCCCAGGATGCTTTGGCCTCACCCATCTTCCCCCAGGAAGACAGTGTGTCTTGGCTGCTCCAGGGCAGAACATACCCCCTTCACAATCCCCACACTGTGCTGCAGGGAAGCACAGCCCAAAAGATAGTTTGAGTCAGCCAATCAGGGCTCCCTGTACACTGCTGCCACCTCTTGAGAGCAGACTTGGGAGTCTTCAGAGCATGCCAAGATGTGTGTACAATGCCCCCTGGCTGTGCAGTGTTAGCACTGCAAGCTCTCTGCTCTTCAAGGGCTCAATATCGCAACGCCTGTTCAGGCATCTCTGGGCAAGTTTCTTCTACCAGAAGAACCAACTTGGGAGAATCAGATTATCTGAACATATGTATGCAGTCATAGAGTGAGGCAGCTCTCCTAAATTACACACCACAGTCCTCTGTATGGCTGCCTCATTGTATGTCTAATGGAACAGCTGTCACATCATATGCTCTCATCCAGACAAGCATGGATATGCAGCACGTGGCACCGCAGACTCATCTGTAGCACCACACACCACACATGCAGGTATTCCCTGTGCTGTTACCTTGTAGCACAGGTGGGGGGTTTGACTCGGGGAGATCCTGAGGTCAAAAAAATCTTGCGCCTTAAAAAAGTAGGCAGCACACATGGTGATAGTAGTACACACCACCCGAAACCAGATCCTGGCCAGCCGGAACTACACTCTGGCTTCTAGCCAGGCTCCCAGCTGCAGGAGCGCCATAGTTGCAGCTCCCCAAGGCCCCCAGGACCCCAGATAAGGCTGCTGGAGCCAGCACAATTGGTGGCCCCAGCCTCCCCAACCACACCCAAGGTAACCTGCCAGTTGCCAGAGGGCACATGGCATGGGCATTCCCCAGGGACAAGTAGCAGCAGCACAAGGTGTGCCGCTGCTTCTTGTTCCCAGGGAAACAAACATCCACGCTCGTGTGGATGCGGTCTACGTCCCCAAAGGTAGCAAGAAGTCCCTATAATTCTACGTCAGAGGATTAAAAACTAAAAATCCTTCTTTTCTTGGAACTAGACAGTGCCATTCTCAAACTCCAACAAGGTCCGCATGGATGAGCAATATCTCTACCTTGCTACCCTGCTGGTCAGGAATACTCTACTGTTTTGATGTCCTACACAATGGAATGTATCCATGGCCAGTTCTAGCGGATGATGTCGAACCAGGATCAGCCACAACAAGTTTGGATGCAGATATTCCCTTTCCATGGCAGTTTATGAGCCTGGGAGCCCTGCTCAGGTGATAAAGGCAATATGGGTAAAGAAAATGACATGATCCTGATGATGCTCCAGAAGCAAGTGCTGTTGCATCCACTACAGTGTGGACTGCTGGCTCAAAAACAACCATGAACTCGTGACAGAGGATTATGCTGCAGACCTAGGATAAACAGAAGCAGCAGAACTTTAAGATGATGAGGGCCACTTTTGAGGAAACCTCCATTCAGCTTACCCCAGATCTGCAGATGCAGCACACTGATAGAAAACTTCTCCTTGGCTGCAAAGCAGAACATGACTGTCTGCATCTCAAAACTTACTATGTTCACTTGTACAGGTCTGTTGCAAACTATTTTGGTATAAGCAAATTAACCATTAGGGCTATAGCAAACAAAAACATGTGCTGCCATTATCGACATACTGCTGCAACACTTTGGAAGGCTTTACAGCCACGAGCTTCCCCAGTTGCCCTAGACAGTTGTTGGAATCCACACCTATCAACTGCTGCCAAGGCTAGTGAAACTTTTATGCTAAAGGCACCCCTTGTTAGACTTGAGGCATCCCTTGGAAAATACTAGATTTTTGTTTTTATTTTTTGACTACAGAAAAATAATAGAGCATTTTTTCAGGTGCAAAGAACTCACAAATATCACAGCAGGTCAGAATGGTTGTGATGCTATTTGAAGTCTTTGGGTTTATTTTCTGAATTATTTTTGCACACCTAACAGAGCAAAAGCACTCTGGTTGAGAATCAGTGTATTAGCTATTGCCCAAAACAGCTGGAAGGTGACAGCAGAGGGTACCTTTGGAGATTAAAACCTAAATGGTGGGTGTCTGGTCTATGACATAAGGTACCCAAGCAGTTTCCTGCTTTGGATTTTAACTGGATGCTATATATTTACCAAGGGCTGCCCTGTTTACCAGGGCATCCTTGGAATAACCAGGAACAATGGCCACAAGCTAATAGAGAGTAGATTTAGGCTGGACATCAGAAAGAACTTCTTCATGGTTAGAGTTGCCAGAATCTGGAATGGGCCTCCAAGGGAGGTGGTGCTCTCCCCTACCTTTGGGGTCTTTAAGAAGAGACTGAGCAAGCACCTGGCTGGGGTCACAAGACCCCAGCCCTTTTTCCTGTCACAGGCAGGGGGTCAGACTCGATGATCCATTGAGGTCTCTTCCGACCCTAGCATCTATGAATCAGCCCTGCAAGCTCTCTGCTCTCCAGGGGTTCAGCATTCAAATATCTGTTCAGATGTCCCTCGGTAAGTTTTTCTACCTGAGAGAATTCTCCCAGATCATTTGAACTGGGAGAATTGTGTGTGCAGCAATAATTAGCATTCTCCTCCAGGTTTCTACTGGTAGCCTGCTGGTGGTGTCTAACAAAGTATTTAGAAGAAAGGGATTTTGAGACAAGCTACTGGATGGCCTGGACTCCTGGGTCACAAGTATCACCAACATCCTTGTGTAAAGACTCTTCCAACCTCCAAGTCATCCTGGGGATGTCTGTATTATCCATGAAACATGGCTTAATGCAAGTGTCTCCTGTGAAGACTTGTTCAGTGACACAGCAGAACTGACAATTGTCTTAGGCCTGACTGAAGCCGTAAAATGCATGGAAAAATGTTGATGTCCCTGAACTGCCAATTCCTTGGCTAATCTTCATACGCTTCCTGGTTGAGACTGTTTTGTGTGCAACCTTTCTATACCTTAGTTTCCCTCACAGTGCTAGAAGGCAAAGGATCTCAGCACTTGCTCCAACAGCAGGTGCAATGAAAAGGCATTCTTCTAGTGGCCAGAGAGTGCTCACAAACAGAAAGTACAACTGAACTTCCAAGGTGTTGATCTCTGAAATGTCTGGGTACAGAAAGAAGGAATCTGGCCATGCACCAGTATTTAAATGTAGAGGTGACATCTGCTCTCTGTGAGCATGGAGCAATAGAGACCACATGGTATACTGAGCAACCAGTTCAGTAGAGGGTAGAAAACAGTGTGGAGAACAATTTCATAGAATGAGATGGGGAGGCACAAACATAAACCCTGCTCTGAAAGTTACTAGGCCCAAAATAAAACTCTTTGGGACTGAAATATACAAATCCACTGTATTTGCAGAATACCATCCAACATTTTATCCATTCAACTTCTCATTAATTTTAATCAGAACTTTATAGGTGAAGCCCACATTCAGCGCTTGAAAATTTGAGTGAAGTTTTTGTTACAACAAGGGTATTGATGGGTCAGTAGAATCAAATCTCACAACTTGTGCTGCCTGCTTGAAGGATCATTACTACATAATTTATGCTCCTCTTGTGTATCTAACTGAAAGAGACACCTTTCAGAAGTATCAGGTTTTCTGGAGCTGCTGTACAATCATTTGAGGCCCTATGCCAAAACATGACCTGAAACTAATAACCACCTTGGACTTTCCTTCCAACAGATTTCCTCGAATAAAAATCTTAAGTGGCTTTGCAGCAAGTGCTAATACACCAAAGTATATTTAACTTAATTTTGAACACAGTTCTTTTTTGACAGCACTGCTCATGTGTTCTGTATATCTAAAACCCCTGCCACAATCCTTCCACTTTAGGAGATCCGGGGTGGGGGGAAAGCCTGTGGCTCCTTTCAATTGTTGGGAGAGGTAGTTAGCTATGTTACTCTGAAGTCAAGTAGAAGACAGGGTAAATATGCACCTTCACAGACTAATTTAAGATTAGACAAAGAGCTCTGGTGAACCCAAGTTCCCATTGTTGGCAGACTGCTGTAAGGCCTATTTGATGTACATACAGATGTGGGCATGAGCCCCTACATAAACTGTCTGCATATACACATCCAGGACAACTCTCCCAGGTTTGTTTTCCTAAGACAAAAACTGACCTGTACAGAAGTTCAAACAAAGAAGCAAAGAGCCTGAAATGCAGATACTGGCCAACCAGGGGACCCTAGAGCATGCAGCCCAGAGAGCATTGCAGGCTTTTTTTTTTAAGTGAATGTAGGCAGGGGTCATCAGGGTAATGGAAGGTGGAAGCAGGGTCTCTATGCTATACACAGAATCCTCCAGACTTTCCCTTCCCCGTGCTGTTTCAGCAGCTGCAGCTGGGCAGGGAGTATTGCTTGTATACTTCCCAGCACCCAAACACTGCAGCGTGATTGTGGGCTTGGACAGATGTTCAGCTTCTCCAGGGAGAATCCCTGCTCTCTCAAGAAAAACCATGAATATACATATGCTCATCATTTTTCCCAGAGTAAGAGCAGGTGCTTGGGGAGAAAAATAACTTGAGAGCAACCTGAGCGAAGTGGCTCTCTGGAGACTCTCAGGAGACAGAATTTCTGTAGAAGCAGCCACTGCACTTTGCTGCTTCTCCCTTCTGCTTCCACAGACAGGAACAGAACCAGACCATGCCCACTAAGTGCTTCAATGCTGGACTTTTCCAACCTGAAGCATTCGGGGGGCATGTTCTGCTCCCTGCTTGGTTGGGCCTGACACAAGCTCTCCCCCTCCTTGTGTGGGAAGGGGAAAGAAAAACAACCAAGCACACTGACTGCCTGTACCAACATTCAGTCTCCTGAGAGAGATTCCCCCAGGGAACCACTTCACTTGGGTTGTTCCTGAGTTATTTTTCTCCACTTCTATACTGGAAGAAAGTGACAAAGGTGTGCACAAGCAGTTTCTCCTGAGGGAGCAAGGACTCTCCCTGGAAAAACTGAATGTCTGTCCAAGCCCAGCTGTTACCCCATTCCATTTCAAGACCGGCTGCTTTAAGGCAGCAATGCTTTGAAGGCAGTGGCAGAAGCCACAAGCGGTCTGTAACTCTGTCTGCCATTCTGGTCTTTATTTTTCCCCCCCAAGGCTGGAAAGAGAAACAAGCATAACCTGTGGGGTCAGAGAAGGAGGGACCCAGAAAAGCCTGGGAAGGTTCAAGGGAGACCAGGAGCAACGATCTCCACCCATGGAGCACACTCTGAAGGAGCAGACAACCTCCAGGGATGCCTACTGCCAGGAGGATGTCTGTCTGCCTGCGTGCCTATTTTTCGGGAGGGAGGGGAAGAAGGGTGGTCACAGATGGTAGCCTGACAGCCCTCAGAGCACAGTTCCCTCCATCCCCCGCAGTACCGGTTCTCCTTGTCCAGCTGGTTGGGGTCCTGCTTCCGCAGCAGCTGCTGGAGCTTGCCCAAGTCCCCGGTGGCAGCTGCACGGTGTAGCTTCCCCAGGTCCCGCTCGCGGAGCTCATAGCCACCAGAGCCCACGGGCAGGGAAGCGCTCTTGGAAGGCGATGGCAGCCCCTTCTTCTTCTTGCCAAAGCCAAAGATCTTCTTCATCCTCCTGGGGCCACAATCAGGATATGCAGGGACACCAGGGCTGCTACCTGCACATGGTGGGCACCAACCCTAGTCGTCCAGGCACAGTCAAGCCCACAAGGGGGAGGGGAGGTTCCGCTGTAGCCAGGGTGGGGCAGAGCCTGGGGCGATCACAGCAGGACAGGACACAGCTGAACCCGCAGGCTGGAGGTGTGGCAGGGACACAGGCTCAGTGGGTTCCCCACTCATGTGGTGGTGGCAACATCCACAGTAACCACTGTCCAAGGACTCCAACAGAGATGAACAATGTCATCTTTGTCAGTAAATTTGGGAGAGCTGATAACATCGTTACAAGTTCACATATACAGATGATGGGCCAAAAGTGCAAAAATCAACCTGGAGAAGATAGGTATTAGAGTAAAGGAACTGTAAGGTGGAGAAGGAGCTGGCTCAAGAGTTGGCAACAGGCAGCACTACAAGGGGAAGTATTGGGCTAGAATGTGATCACTAGTGGAATTCCTTGAGGATCAATCTTGGAACCACAAACAGCTCATAATCTTTCTGTAGTAAAAAAGTTTACCTAGGAGGTCCTTCTCAGCTGTTTCCAACTTAGAACAAAAAAAAAACCCTTTTGGATCAGTCTCCCATACATGACTTCTACCTTGTATTGGTTGAATTTTATCCCATTGCTGCTACTTCAGCTCTCAAAGTATTCCAGGGGAGGGGGAGAAGGGCAAGGGGTTACAGGATATCCTTATTCTGCTCTGTGTTGGTGATATTTCCCAAGTTTGTGTCATCAAAACATTTCATCAGCACCCTCCTTTTTATTTAAAAAAAATCTAAATCATGGTTTAGCTTTTCTGTTTAAGGGTAAATCCAGTTCAGACATAACCCATGCTTCAAGTGCATGCATGCTCTCTGCCTCTAGGATGGTGGCACTCAACTTCTGGTTTGCAAGCCAAATCCAGCCCACAGGGCTCTCCACGTGTCCAGAAATTTGACAGTGGGAGATGAATGGCAGCACAGTCACGGCTTCAAGAGCCACAGCCACGGATGGGGAACTGAAAATTGCCCAAAGCACTTGGCATTCAAGGGTTCACCTCTGAAGCCCATGACAAGGTCAGAGAGGAAGAGGAGAGAGCCTCTCCCTGCTGTAGCAAGCACCCAGTCTGGATCGAGATGGTAATACTTATGCTACCGCTAGAATTCAGAGTGCCAAAACACAGGGGGCAGACAGGCGACATGGGAATTGCTCGCTCATGGCTCAGACACAAGTGACGATCCCAACAAAAGCTTGCCACGATTCCAAGGGACAGCGTGAATTTATAAAGGATCCGAGGGGCTGGGCACGCACAAGGCCACTCCTGTGATAACTAGTGCAGAAGGTGATCACACACTGCAGTGACCCTGCTCGCCCCCAGCCTCTTGCCTCGATCCTTTATAAACCCACGATGCTCCTTCCCGACTTCCCTGCCTCACTCGCGTCTGGACAGCGAACGCCTGCAGCAGTCTAGGACCAGGGGCTGCTATTTCCGAGCACTGGTCCGGGCCGGGACCCTTGTTTTGAGGCGGCTGCATGGAGCGGAGGCAGGGCGCGGAGGGCCGTAATGGGGGCTGCGTCCCTCACCACGTCCGCAAGCCACAGGGCCCGGGCGCCTGGCGCACCCCACCCCCCTGGCCCCCACCGACGGAAGGATACGACTGACGCGGCAACCCCAG